ACATACTTGAAGGTCATATTCTGCTACCGTAGTATGAACTTTCGTACCAGTTTCTTCTGAGTTGCTCATTATATTACAAATATCAAGTTACCCGCAACCCCGCCTGGCCGAATAAGCCGTTCAGATTTGATATGTTGAATCTGATTGACCGTTACTAGTTCCGTAAAGAACCGATCACATTAGAGTAGCTCAATCATTTTCGTCCCTAAATCCGTAACATCATAAACCACACTGAACCTCAATGACAGGACAACAGTCGAACATTCGACTAGCACACAACCAATGTAGGTGATCTGTTTGGGTGTCATTGTCTACCCAAGTAGGATGGGAATAACGTAATTTAGCTTACGTCAAAGTCATACCATGCGGTTAACTCCAAACGTGAATCATCTTTTCGCTATATCCAAGTAATATGGCCAATTTGATGACTATATATGACATGACGTTATTGGAGGAAAGTGTTAATATGAGTAGGTTAGAGCGAAACGCCATATTACTGCTGGTAGTTAGCACTCATTTTATTGATGGAAAAGGCAAGAATAATGCTTACAGTAGGTTTTTATTCAGATCGTGAAATAAAACAATTGGGACGCGAGGTTATGAATTCAAACACAAAAGAATTTCAACACTCGATTTAGGATGATAGGGGATATAATGCTCACAAGAAATAAAGAACTGAATGAAAACTTGAGCTATAATGTTTCGACATTACTAGGATGTTTTTGAGAATTCTGACCACTTAACCCAAGTTGTTACATCAGCTACCTTATAGAACCAACTTCAGTAAAAATCCTGTTTCCATCAACTTATTAAACAAAAAATGCCTCTTCAGTTATCCCAAAATCATAAACGGGGAACATTGCCTTTTCAAGAAACAAATCAGCAAAATTAGGTAAACCTAAGAATCGCCGCAGTATACTCATAAAATATTTATGAACCAAATGAAGACTTACAGTTGCAAGTGATGAATGTTTGGTTCCACATAAATGTTTGGTTTGGCGGGACACGTAAGTAATCTTGATTATTCTCGTAGTTCGTCATTATTTCGAAAGTTCATCTATCCAATTTCATTGCTGTTTTCATCTATTAGCGGAAATACATGAAACAATGTTCAACCTCACTGGAATATCATTCACATAACACTCATTTCAGCCTAAGATTATTCGTTCCTTTGTTACTTCCTAACTCTATGGTGTCGTTTCGGATTTATAGTTTACGTTGCATCGTTTGGTTGTAAACCCTTTGTATACTTAGTATAAAAACAAATATAACATTTATATGCAAAATGTAAAGGGTCTGAGGAATAGAAAGATGCCACTTAATCTCACTACTATTTTGGTGCTATAATTTTTAAAAATAAAGTGACATAGCACAATAAAGAAACTTTCCTTTTTTTCTTTTTACTGTTTAAGTACACACAAAAAGTATTCAACAAACAAAAAGTTTAGTACTCAAGGGATGGAATTTTAGGTTTCAGTTAAAACTATGGATACGTAATGGCATTGTGCCCTAACCACGTAATCCTTAAAGCTGAAAACTAGATAGCTGTGAAACTAGATATTCAATATTTAGCGCGGAAAAAAACCCGACGATGGAGAAGGTGGGAAGAAGGGATTGAAGTAATTCGAATCGATCGTATAGCATCGCTGAGCCTTGCGGTCGTGATCACTATTAAGTGTTAACATATACCTTTTATTCATACTAAATATATTGTTCTGTCTATAGCCTAAGTTCTCCATTATAAATTGGTGATTGTTTCGATTCGATGAGTTGATGTAGACAATGATGTGACTTCCATGTAAAATCTAATAGATTAGGCAGTTGCATCACGACAAACCCACAATTTTAGGATCAGGTCTATTATTAGAGCAGTACTAATATCGTAGTAGACCATAGTTCCACAAATATCTCTGCCTGAATCCTTGCCTGGATTAATGACATGCGAGTGATTAATCCGTGTCAGTTATCCTTGAAATTGACAATGTTCTATAAACTCTCAAACAGTCAGTGACTTGTTCTTTAAAGTAGGAGTAGTTAAGCTTAGGGGTTGGTTTATCTGCAACTCAGCGACGTTTCAGTTACCCATCAGTACCAATTATAAGATTCGAAGACTTTCCGAATCAATATCAAATTCACCGGGTGTGGACGCTCATTGGAATTCGATCCGAAAGATCCATAAGAATTCTAAGAACATCTGATAGATTAGTCGAAAGGAAGTCAAAGTATCTGATCAAAAATGCAAATCATAATAAATCATAGAATTACATATTTGTCGACGTGTTTAATGATCACATACAGGTTGGTTCAATATAGAATAACTTAAAATTACGATAATAAATAATAATAAACTTTTTGGTGCTCAGATAAGCTGTATTGAAATAACTAGCTTTAGGATTCGACCAGCAGTTTTTTCAGACAAGCGATATAATTATTTCGGTGAGATTAATGTTGATACAGTGGTAATACAATAAGTGAATCATCAATCGACGTCAATGACTGAGCCTTCATTGACCTAAAGCTGAAAGACATTCAACGCCAGTGACAGTTTTCTGTTTGTAAGTGTTGAATTCATTTTATACTCACATTCTTATAGTTAAATTCATGGGTCGATTTAAGCTAAACCGCCATTGGAAACCTGGGAGCATTGGACGGTCGCTTCGTTCTAGTGTGGTACTTCTCAGCAGTGCTTATCCACGATGCAGCACGCTGGACTCGAACCCCGGGACCTTCGATCTCACACTGGACACTTGACATCTAGACCGCTGAGTCGGCATCCAACGGTGTTACAGTCTAACTCTAATCACTGGCTACTAGCTCCAGTATAGATTTCCCGGGGCTCTAATGAGAAGCTGTGACCAACGAAGTTCAATCTGTATCAAGCGGAGACAGTTATCTGCCTAGAAGAATAAATGTAGGGTTATAAAACTAATGACTGTCCTTACAATCAGTAAGGGACATTGACAACGAATCGAAAGCATAAACGATGAGATGAGGTTGTCTCTACAAGACGATGAAAGGGCGAGTGCTGCATTGTAGCTTCATAACTGAGCCGAAGAATGTGGAAGGGAGCACAAGAAACCTAGGATTGTTAATCTGGACTCAAGTCGACGGTGCCTGTGCCAAACTCTGTCATTGTTATGTAGATATGACAGTGGCGGTTACATGTTGCTGTAAATTCTCTGGACCTCACAAAATGATGAGTCGCGCGCGTGACTGAATCACCAGACCATTGTTTGAATTAAATAGGTTCTAAATTATCGAGCATTTAGGCGGCTGACATATGTACCAAAAGCATCCGTTGGGAAACGGCCAAGAAGAAACAATACCTCATACATTGGACAGTTACATATATCAATTGATCGACTGAATTAGTTTCGATATTTAGGTCGATTGAATCGAACATAATTCAGGGTTTTTAGGTCCCAATAATCATACATGGTATTAGAAAATCGTTTTTAATTAGCTTTCAAGGTGCTGGAGAGCCATTAGAGTGCCGAAAACAGCTAATGCTGCTTCATATAGTTCGAGCCATTTATATTTTTGTACTTCCCACATCACGAGTACTAAATCATCACATTATGATGGGCTGCGTAATTTCACTAAGAGCCGTGGTGGAAAATGGCTCTGCATTTATTGTTATGTCTAACATCTAGTTTTACAGAATGGTTTGAGTAAAATACACAAAGTACAACATCAGAGTCAAATAATTGTACTGGTCCAGATGTCTGGCACAATGTGACGGCGAAATAACATCGTTGTAATGGATGCTAACAGTTGTGTAAAACGTTCGTTTAGAGTAATAATTTCCGTATCCGGCTTCGTAGATACAGACATGTATAAAGACTATGGTTAGTTTTGTAAAGAACTTCTGAGGTCAGATAGAAGTTTTCAAACCTATATTGCATAGTAAATCCCGAATGTGAAAGTGACATGACATTTGCGTAGTAAGAAAGTTGAGTCAGTTTAACTTGTGAGGCAACGGTAGGTACAAAATGGATAACAAACGTTATTTAACATGGTAGTCTCCTGTGTAAACGAAGTTTATGGGCTGAAGATAACCTAGCCATATTGTAAAAGTCTGTCACAGAAGGTTTAATTTTTATCATTAAGTAACAAATTACGTGCGATAATACGACAGTGTCCAGTTGAGGTATACATTTTTACGAAACAGATATACATAGCTTCAACTAAAACGTGACGGGAGTAATGGAATATATGGCCACACCATCAAATATCTCTGGGGTAGTTCCTTCACTTCATACATTAGTCTTTATGGCAACCGTAGCTTAATAACTCCCCACAGTGTATAAATTTCAGAAGACAATAAGAAGCTATTATTATAGTTTAATATCGTACAACGAAAATCGGAAGACCACAAAGCACATGGTGCGAGTAGAATTAAATGCGAATGAATGTTAATGAATGAATAGGGTTCAGGAAGCTTTCGTTCATAACCATTAGATCACTGAGTGATTTATATTACTAGCATTTAAGTTTGTGAGAGAAATGTATGAGCTGAGACACGTGGGTAAAAATATATAATCGTACGTACATTTGAATAATAGTATAAGTACGTAAAAAGATCGTTTAAAACTGGAAAGACATCTTTTCAGGCAAGCTAATGAAGCGTCAGTAAATTCGAACATATGCAAAATGAATTGTACGTGAAGAGGCTACAAAATTTTTCCTGCTTCCTCATTCGCAGATTCCTACATTAGGGCACCGATCACCAAAACTGCTAGAATTGGAAGCTCGTTAAACAGTCAACTCTTCTGTTTTGTCCTCAACCCTTTGACACACTTTGATTTTCTAGAATTTGAAACGACATATATAACCATTCTTTATTCGAGAACCATTAGATGACTAGGCAGAGCATTTCAAATGATATTCAAGTGCAAACCAAGCTAGAAACGTCTTTGGGCACCATTTTAACAGCTTAGAGAAAGAGTGTTATATCATCTGATTCAAATAATATGGTTTGTTTAATTGACTCGGAATAGCACAACTGTAAATTTACCGCCGTTTTGGAGATTCGTAGATCAGCTGCGACAACCATGTTGTGACAAACTTTTACCCCCATTTTATACCGATTCAGGTTTTTAAAATTCCAAGAATCTAACAATTTAGTAGAGAAAAGTGTTTTAAAACCCTATTTTACTCATATTTATTCTTTTATACCAATTTGTTGGGATATCAGCGTATGTTATGGATCTGGATCATCGAAACGGCTATCATCAGTCAGAAAACTCTCACAACCAAGGAAATGTGATTCACAAATGTGCGATGTATGAAGCGAAAAGGCCTTTGGGTGATCGCACTGTTCTGGGAAACTTAACAAATAGACAACGGGTAAATTTCACGTTTCATAACAATATGCTGTACTAGGACGATTCGGCACGTGAGAAATTTATCGGCTCCCAGTTCAATCCAAGTAAGTTGTTTCTGAAAAAAATCATGAGTTATTACGTTATATGACGAGGACGTGCAGTCAATATCACACAACTGCCATTTTAGAGTAGTGTCCAGATATCCCAGTTTGTGGATATATGATTCACTCTTATCATGTGTTTAGAAATACGTCAAAATTTACTCAGGAAGCAAATTTGTCTAAACTTTTGAGGTCGTAGGGAGTGGATTACAAGTTCATAAAGTCACATCAGTCATTATATCATCCTCAGTCAAGAATAAAATACAGTGATGTATAAATTTGTTTGTAAACTCACGTCATTTCGACTTCATAGACGTTTCTTAGATAATTCTGGCGGCAATTGCATCTTCATGTCAGTGTTCCACCTACTTTGGATGAAGTGATCGTACAAATAAATGGGGGAATGTTTGTGTGTGTTATGAGCCTACAATAAATTTACTAAATGATGGTTCGCAACTAGTCAATGTTATCTTATTGACTATGTTGCGTAAGACGTCTGACAAACCAAGTAGTGATTGTTGATTTTTGATCTAGGGCTTTTTTGGTAAATGAGGGCAATTACTAAGTAACAGGTAAAGATGAGCCCAATAGTAGTCTTTATCGATGCATTTTTAGCCGTAAAGTGCTGATTGTAGTTTCATCAAAATAGCAGTTGTCAACGTAACGTCCTAAAAACAATTAAGAACTTTAAAAAAACCATTTATTAATTGTTTGGGATAGTATCGAAACACTAACAGTTACTACCGTCGCTGTGATCCTACCATGACCATCTTTACTTATGCTGAGTACCATTTTTACCCATTGATTCGTAAATGAAATGTTTTTGGCCTAGTCTTCTGAAACAACTCGTTTGGCAAGCATAGGTTTAATGTATTGAGCTACAAAACATTGTGTGGCGGCTGGTAGTGTCTACGCTGCCGAAACCGAAATAGTTAAAGTGGGGTTCAAGCATGCGACCAACTTGGTGGGATGCAAATGTTTTAATTAATAACTAAATAAGGAACCGAGTCTTCTCAGAGGTTCTCGAATGTATGTTGGAACTTCTCCAAAACCATCTTTTCTGACTATATATCAGTACAATTTACAATGTGAGACCATCACGAGTCATTTGCCGTTTTTAATCCTTAATAATCGGGAACTAGATATAAACTCCCTCAAATAGGAGAGTGGATATTTATTTATTTATTATTTATTTGAACACAAATATTGATACAACAGGGCACCAAATATATATGCGCCACACAAAACAATGAGAATGGGAAGAGAAGAAAGGTAAGATGCGTATAAGGAAAAAAAGAACAATAACGACCACAGGTTAGTGTAAGGTAGTGTAATAATTATAATAATGGGGGAAACGGAAAGGTACAACCAAAAGAATTCTTTCAGTTAAGGAAGATACTACCACTTTTTATGAAGAAAGTAAAAGGTTACAGCAGGATCGCCACTAGCTTCTATTCTGAGCTATATCTGATAATGTCTCTAGCCACAGTAGTCTTTAACACATTTGTGTAGGTCATCTAGAACAACAATTGAATGGTAAACGAGTGACTGCTCTTACTCTGCTTACGTGGTTTGGGAAGATAGCTGGAGATGTTCTTTGTCCGATCTCCCCTTAATTGACTTGCATTAATCTGTCTTCAGCGGCCACTACACAACTAAAAAGACTCCCAAGTTTGCAGTCTTTGAGAAAAGCATAAATCTGTATAATTGAAAGAAGGCTGATATCCAGTAGTCATTAATTTGAAGTGTACCTGTGGTCATTCAAATAATCTTTCTGCACACAAACCAATCATACTTAGTTTACCATTGACAGTCGTATGTTAGCAGTCATGCCAATTTTTAACAACGATTAATCCTAACTACGATCTAAGTACAGTTTGTTTTTGACTATGACGGTAAATTAGTTCGTTTTGTCAAGAAATAAGCTTCGAGGTATTGAAAATTATGTGGTGAGGATATGTCACTGAACACATTTTCTCAACTTCTGGTTCGGATTTCCTTATATAATTGAAAGTCCAATGATCTCAGTATGCATACTGTTAACATGTAGTCTTGGTTGTTTGTTAAAGCTGACCCAGTACCATTCCAAATAAATTTAAACTGCTAATAACATTTTGTAAGAAATGATGGGTAGTGACTAACAGTGGAATCCAGGACGCGCGTTTCGTCCTATACACACAGTATGCACATATGCCAATAACAGACTGATCAGTTGCAGTCTTAAGCATCAATGGGAAGATACAAGCCAAACAATACCAAATGCTGATTACATTTTATATAAAGACTACGTTGCTAACAATACATTTGTGTAATTGGCATCATAAATTACATATTGGTTATATCAGAAAATGTTTCATCTCTTTCCAAATTCTACTCTGGGTTCATTTTGTGGCTAGTCTTTCTAACATTCTCTAAGGATAGATTAAGTTTTAGCGTAGGTACATTAACCCTGTACAGACTCTCCTCTCGAACACTATTGGCTGAGCCAAAGCTTACGGGGAATTCTCTTGGGGATTGGTAACTTCAAGTTGTGTCCGTCAGCGTTATCGACTTTCATCATTTTTATTTAACCTTGTCATAGATATTCCTTTAGACATAACTCGTCGTCTAATTTCAGGAACTGGTCTACCAGAAGATCCACTTTTCACTTAGAATACCCAGATGATATAGTTCCGTTTGGTGAAGACACTGACAAAATGCATAGTCTTTTGACTACCTAAAACACTAGTGTTATAATGTTTGGGATGCGTTTCTCTCCCTCCAAATGCAAAATGTTCTTTCAAGATTTGTCTGTGTCAACCCCAGAATTAATGATAGGTAGTGAAGTAGTTGAGTGTGTAGACCACTTCGTTTATCTCGGAAGTGACGTCACCGCTAATGGGTTTGCCTAACGAAATTTCGGCGTGGATTTTAAAAACTGGGTAATTGCCGAATTTATTGGGGTTTGTATGATTTCCGTAACTAATAACTAAACACTAGATGACAATTCGATTTACTCTTTGTTTTCCCTTAGGTCCTAAGTTTCTAGCTTCACAACCTTTTTATTCCACTAATTTATATATTCGATCACCAATTTTTTTCTGTTACTATTGTCAGTGTTTCTACCTCTATTACTCTAAGATTTACTATGACAATTCCATCTCGCTGTGCTAATGAGGTGTTGGAAATTGGACCAATGTACATACGTACCAGGCACTACGTTACGCTTGACTGACTGAATGGACAGCCGGGTAGTATCCCAGCCCACACACAAATCAACCATAATTACTGCTGGACAGGTTTTCCTTGCTTCAACGCTCACTCAGACAATCTATATTCACAATCATTTGGTAGCATTCGTTTTCATTTCCTTTATACTATGTCACTTGTGTACTCCCCTTTATTCTCATTTTGCGTATTTTATTTTTCAACTTATACAGCAGCTCGCTTATGGTGGAAACCCTGTCTTGTCTAAACGATCTGAAGTCTTTGACTGGTCGGAAGTTGAATACTACCACCGACTACGAATACTGAACCAATCTTTCTGAAACCACGTAAACCCTTCAAACTGGCCTTCAACGTAGTGCTAATGAGGTATGGCAACTTGAACCGATGCATATATGTGATTAGTCCTACGTTGTAGCTGACTGAACGTTCTCATACTAATTCGGATCGGACCGCAGGTAGGGGTGGCTATGTCTTTTGGAAGTCTCAGCATAGATATCTGTTGTCTGTTCCGGATCCGTATTCAAGACTAATGAAGTACTACGGATTAACTCTCCGTCACTTCGAAAAGCTTGTTTCACGTGCGTTTATCCGGGGACCCTGTGGCACTTTCGCTTAGTTTTGCGGGCGTTGGTATCGCACTAAGCTGTAGATATCAGCGAACACTAATCGATTGGATCCCCATTCACAGTCGATCATGTGCTGTTAGATTAGGAAGTTCCATCAAAGTGCGAAGAAATCAGTGGGAAAAAATGTCTTTTCGTCATCTTTGTCTATGCCTGTATACAGAAAGTGCGTTTGACAGATATTGTAGTACCAGTCGCAGACTTGAATACATAGATCGGGCGTGTCTAGGTAGAGAGGAGAGTCGTTTGGTCGACCGATAAGGAATTGTTCGTCGTAAATCAGATAATACTGACCGTCCACTGCATCTGTCTGCATCACGTGGAGTCAGTCAATCAGCTACAACTTAGGACCAGACACATATATGCATCGGTCTAAGTTGCCATACCTTATTAGCATAACAAGATGAACACCAAATTCATAGAAGCAGTTACTTCATTGACAGTAATATATAGAAAAATCGCGTATAAGAATATTATACAGGGAAAAAGAATTAGTTCATGGAAAGAAATGTATAAAGTAATTTTAATCTCACTTTTTGAGGGAAGACACAAAGTGCATAAACCTACGCCATTGCGATCGATTCTGAGCCATGTCACCCACAGTCTCCAGCTATTGGTTGCGATAGTCACGCGGACCCCAACCGAGTAACCTGCATTTACCAACAGGGTTCAGACCAAAAGTTGAGGATTGATGCCAAGTTTTGGTTTGGCCGCCCCTAACCTCCGTCCGTCTCCAACACTAGTCAGCATTGCACGTCGTGGTAGTCGGTGGTTGTGCATGCGTAATACGTGGCCCAGCCATCTCAGTCGATGAAAATTAACAACCTCACCAACTGATTAACCATCATTCTCTAATAACTTGCGTCTAGCTTCATTGTTACTTGCCCTGTGATCCCAGCAGATGCGAGCAATATTTCTAAGACATTTGTGATCAAGTGCTAGTAATTTACGGGTATCCTCTACTCTTAATGGCGACGTTTTGCAGCCATAAAGTAAAACAGGACGAACTGATACGCAGCATACTCTTCCCTTAATCACAACTTTGCACAGACTACGACCTGTTTTCAGTTTGCACTAATTATCGACACAGTCATCGCCGATGTGCTAACTGGCGTTTTCCTTCTGCATCTCGGACTTGGACTTAGAATGGTCACATCGTGATCAGCTACTCCTGGAGCGGTCGTGTTCGAGACTACCACTCCTTTTCAAATAGCCATCTGAATTCTGATCATGCCCTTGCTTGCGCTAATCTAACCTTATGTTTCATTGGGCAATAAATTTATCGTCCTAGACGGTTCGATGTCAGTGAATCGGCTGCAACTTCTATTGCAACTAAATATCAAACCGAGATAGGTTCAAGGTTAGTTACCAACACGCCGAAAAGTGTAGATGAGCGTTGGTTGAGATTGCATGACGCCATGAAAATGGCGAGTAAAGTCGCTCGTGGCTTCACGAAACGCCTCGCTTATAAGCACTGGATTTCTACGGGCTCCTTATAGCTCATTGAAGCACGTCAGTTGACTCCGGCTGACTGCGAGTTGGACCACAAACGAAGATTGTTACGTAATGAAATTGTGCAAAGTTTGCGTAAGGACTGAAAAGCCTAGTGGTCAGAGAGTGCTAATGAGTTGGAAGAAACAGCTGCATTTGGTAAAAGTCGGAAGCTCTTTCAGCTCCTCCGAGTCACTCGTAGTAAGACGTCTGGTGTGAGTGAAACAATCTGTGAAGTTGACGTGATGCTAATCACCAACATCTATCGACGTCTTGGACGGTAGGAAGAGTTTTCCGAGGATCAATTCAACTGGTCTGCTGCTCCAGCGACATCAAGCAAACTGTTCTATCCTCCATGGATTGTGGTGACCTCTCCACCTTGTTCCTGAAGCGCCACAAATCACCAAGCCCAGATGACTTGCTTCCGACTTCTTTTTAGAGATGATGACGACTTTCTGGTCAGAGAACTGACTGAGTTGTCTACAAAGGTCTGGGAATTAGAGAATATCCCAACATCACGGAATGAGTCGAAAATTGCACCCATCTTTAAAAAGGGTTCATTTCGTTCTTGCAACAAACATCAGAGGGTAAGTCTACCTCCGATAGTGTCCAAACCATTAGCTTCCGTCATACTTCGTAGATTTTTCAAAACCCGAGAAAGATTGACTTGTGAGGACAGGCTGGTTTTCGTTCTGACCGATGATGTCTTGTTCATACCTTCACCCATCCGCCAAATGTTAGAACATCGTCATACTAATTGCAAGCCAACAGTCGTAGTGTTTCATGCCTTTTGGGCCTCCCTCGATTCGTTGGACAGGACTTCTCTGGGATTATCTATTTTAGAAGGATGTGCCTGAGAAGTTTATTAACATATTGAAAGCCCTATATACTAACTCCTCCGGCAGAGTGGAGGCATATAACCACCTCTCCACTGTTCATTTCAAGCAATGAGGACAGGCAGGGTTTCCAATCTCACCATTCCTCCTCAACTTTGCCATCGATGGCATTCTGGAAACAGCTCTGATGGATGTAGGTAAAGGTGGTATTGTTCTGTTGCCCGGAGAAAGACTTTTCAACCTTGAGTATGCGGATGATATTATCTTTCTGTGCGATAATACCCAAGGAGGTAGAAGTAATCGAGAATTTGGTGTAACTGGGTAGCTGCGTAAGTGCTGGTGGTGGCGTAAGTTATGAGATCAATCCACGTATAGCGAAAGCCTGAACGGTTTATGCCGATCAGGGTCACCTTTGCCTCCTTCGTGATGTTAGTCTAGCTGTAAAAGATTGGATCTACAACGCGTCGGTGAGAGCAGTTCTGCTCTATGCTTGTGAAACCTGGCCTCTCCAAGTTGAGAACGTTAGACGACTCTGTGTTTGATCATCTTTGTCTCCGAAGGATTGCTGACACCCAGTAGCAACACCATGTTATTTATTTATTTTAACACATAAATATTGGTGGAAGGAGGCACCAAATACATATGCGCCACAAAAATCACATTGGATATGTGTGAGGGCTGTGATACTGCCCGGGTGCCCAAACCGAAACAGGTGGTTTTCTTAGGGGGCCACTCCCCGAGCCTTCGACCTGAAGGTCTGATCCACAAGGCAGTGGGGCATTGTATAGAGATGCAGTCCCATGGAAGCCAGTGACCAACGATTGATTCATACGCCATTTGTTCCAGCAGGATACTAAAGCCCATGTGCACCATTGATTTGGTTTGGGATCCGGTTAAAGCGCCGGACATTCACTGTTCGTCCTCTCATTTTCGTAAACAACACCCGTAGTACGAGACGGTTGTGGAGGATATATACGCGTGGCCATGTGAGAGCATTTCGAGAGGGAGAGCGGACTCTTCCCACTCTCGGCCGTACGTTCGGCATCGTGTGTTCAGGCACATAGACGATAATGCAATTGGTGTCACCATCTTGAATCATCGACTTCGGTGGCTTGGACATGTTCTACGAATTTCGTCCCAGAGAATTCCACGTCGTGCATAATTTGCCGACGCTGGGACCGGTTGGATGAAGTGGAGAGGTGGTCAGTGTATGACATGGTGTCGGGGTATGAAAGAAAGCTACAAAGAGCTGGCGTCTGTTGGTCCTTCACGACTCCCCGGTTGGGGTCATAGAGGTGGTGCAACACAATGGCTAGAGGTGTTATCACTCATGGTTCAGGATAGAAACCAGTGGCAGTCCTGCTGTAACTTTCTTTTACTTCATAAAAGTAAACGCAACTTCAACTAAAAGAATTTCTGGCTGTATTTTCACTAACTGAACTGTTTCTGTCATTATTATTCATTCTCGCACACTAATTTCTTTTTGTTTTTTTATTATTATACGCTATTTACATCCTCATAACCTCATTGTTTGGCGCGTATGTATTAGGTGCCCCCTTGTACCAATATTTATGTGTTCAAATAAATGATTTTTTCTTTTCACCATATCCATTTTGTTGAAAATCGTATGTTAGTATTTCATCTGAACACTTTGATGTTCACCCACATTGATATTTACAATAGCTAACCTTCTGTTAAATCTTAATGTAAGCTACAATGCTAAAAAGTCATATTTTGTGTTTATCTAAATCACTAACATTATCATAGGATATTTTTTAAACAGATGAAATTGTCTGAACCATCCGTAAAGCTTATTTTACAACTAGAATATCCTGCAGTAAATAAAGAGTTCACTAAAAACTGCAATCCCTAAAGTATTATTTATTAAAGTATACACTCATCTAATTTGTTCAAGAATTTTTTGGTTAATATTCAGTAATTTATTGCTAGTCCATATGTTATGAAGTTGTCGACTTAATCTGGTTTGTTTTCGAAACTTTACTAGTTCACAAAAACAGCAAGTTGATAAATATAGAAGCTAAATACTCATCAATAGTTTCAACTACATTGGGTCATGGTGATTTGAACTCAACATCAAGTGCAGATAGTGGTTATGGCAGCATAAACACTGAATCGATTGTTGTGGAATCCAAACTTACATCCAAATCGTTAACACAATCACTTTTGTGCTGTAAATCATTGAATTCCGAACAAGTATCAATATCAAAACGACCTCGTTATGACGAATCTGATACAACTTCTCAGGTAGAAGTATCTTGCGTTGATGAAGATTCAGATGATGATAGACGACCATTTGAATCAAAGGTGAGTATTCTGTGTAGTTTTTTTGTACGACATGAATTTGTTTAACGATTTTTAATTGTCTGTAATTTTCTTTGATGTACATAAATCAAGCTCAACAAAGTGATCAAAATATTCCAACCGTCATACTTTAGAAGCAAGTGATATCACTTTACTCTGCAACATTTATGTTAGATTCACCCAGTTTCAAGGAGGTTTAATTTCAGTTATGAATTAATGTTAGTTAGAATCTTACTGTAACACGACGAAATTGGTTTGTTAAACATTCATAACTGACTTTATCGTATTCTTTAACAGCTGGCTTGTGATATTGTTCGAGCTGCATTTGCTGATCGTGTTCAGTTGGAAGAACTTTTAGCAGAATGTAGAAGGGCCGATTTCGCTATTTCAGCTTTGGATCGCTCTCCGGTTGATCGCATGATGGAAGCTACAGACTATATTGTTGGGATAATGGCCTATGAACAAACAAGGGAAGCAAAAGTAAGATTCTATCTAAAGAGGTTCCTAATCAGTGTTATAATATGCTGATTTACTGTAATCAGTATAATATACACCCTCATAATTATAATCAATCAGTAATTAATATTCTGCCTTTGAATAGCCTCTTGAGCACCAGATAACATTTTTAACTTATTTTTTCTGGTTAAACACTATGACCAGTGCATTTGTTTATTTATTATATTTTAGGAAGATTTTCAAGTGAATGATTTTTTGGCTGCTGGTAAGCAACCTAATCTCAATGCTGATATGTTAACAACACTAGCCGATTGGTTAGTCGAGGTTCAAGAAAATTTCGCATTGAATCATGAAACAATTCATTTGGCTTGGGGCCTTTTATATGCGTTTTTAGATCGTGGTCAACCACTTGCTCGGTAATTTTTTCTTCCTGTATCCCATTAATTACTAAAAATTTGATTTTTTTTTGACAACAGCTTTTGGATTTCCCGTGAAGTTTAGTTGTAGCTGAATTGTGTACAAACATATCAAATTCACATCTAAGTGTTATTAGTTCTCAGTGTTATAGCACATTTGAATAATTAACGTCCTTAAATAAAAATCATGTTTTAGTCCATTGATTTTGATTGTCTCAATAATTACATTCATACTAGTTAAAGCATGAATAGTTTTGTAAAAAAAAACATTAAGATCCTATGTTAGAGGATTTACATTGAATTGGTTTGATTCGAATAGGTTTTTTTATCGGTTTACAAAAAAACTCTAAGAATCTTAACAAAATAAAACCTGAGCTCACGGATTTACTATTTCAACTTGTTGACATAATTGTTATTTTATGCCAGTTTAGATGTGCTTTTTTGTCATTGTGTCAAATTTGTGTGTTTATTCGGTGCTCCAAATTATTCTATAATTAGCCACATATTCTCACTTGGTTTCATGTTTAAAACCTTGTTCAACGTAAGTCTTACCATAATTATCAATAGTATTTGGAAACTATTTCAAGAACATACTGTTTAGATTTTGCCTTTGCGGGCTTGTGAAAAAACTGTAATATGAATTAGCCATCTTTAGGACTGCTCACTGTCTACACTTCTATCCAACTTCATTATAGACATTCCTAGATAAGTTGTTGATTGAGAGCATGAACAAACTGATATTATACCACCATTGGAAACCTGGAGACACTGGACGGCGGTTTCTTTCTATTATGGGACTCCTCAGCAGTGCGCATCCACGATCCCTCTCTCGAGATTCGAACCCAGGGCCTCCGGTCTCGCGCGAGAACACTAAGCCTCTAGACAGCTCAGTGTGAATCCCACGGTGTTAATGTCTAACCTCAACCAATCCACGAAATTGCGCGACCATCTTCCATTTTACTGAAGTAGATACCTATCACTACCTGACATGGACTAGCCCCACTTCTACTTCAGTAAAATGAAAGATGGTCGCGCAATTCCGTGGATTGGTTGAGGTTAGACATTAACACCGTGGGATTCACACAGAGCGATCTAGAGGCTTAGTGTTCTCGCGCGAGACCGGAGGCCCTGGGTTCGAATCTCGAGAGAGGGATCGTGGATGCGCACTGCTGAGGAGTCCCACATTAGGAAGAAACCGCCGTCCAGTGCCTCCAGGTTTCCAATGGTGGTATAACATCAGTTTGTTTATGATCTCAATTAAATACTTAATAACTTCCACAACCCCATACTGATGATTCCTAGATACGTCGTCCTTCGTCCGAATCTTTCTAGATTGGCCTCCTACGAAGAGATTCAGTTGTCGAATTATTTTGCCAATTCATTCTCAGATCTTTCTTACTATCACTGATACTACCACTTTCACCACTCCGATGCTTATCTTGATAATTTCATCCCACTCTGCTGATAAGGTTTAGGAATGTGGTCAGGTACACGGTTGTGGTAGGTTCTTACGTTTGTTATAAGTGATCGGCTGAGTACTCTATATCAAACCTAAGTGCTGTGGTCGCATTCAGAATTTTATCTACATAATATATCCTGTAATTTCAAGCCACTGCCATATTTCTTGATTCTTCAGCTTTTTGATGTATAGAGTTTGGCTGACTTTTTTTCTTCTATGAATACTACAGGCGTGAGATTCAGTTAATGGCATGTGCTGCAATCATGGTTGCTTGCAAACATGAAGAACGACAAATGCCTCATCTGAATGAATTTTTGTACATAACGGACAACGCGTATACAAAAGAAGAATTCATTGAAGCTGAACGCCGTCTACTGATAGCGATCGATTTTGCTGTACATCGTCCAAATCCTTATGTTTTTTTGCGTCGTTATGCTAGGGTAATTCATGATTTTGTGACCTTGTTTTATAATAACAATTAGTAGTTTGTTCTATCATATTAGTTTTTATTTTTTAATTGACGATTGGATAATGCTCATATTGATCAGTAGTTTTCGGTCGGGAAGGAAAGCTAGGGGCGATTAGAGTGATTTGTGATACTGGCCAGTGAAGTTCTCTCAAATGCCCTGGTATGGCTTAAAGTGGGACGAGTCAGCTCTCCCTCTTGAAATGCTCTCACATGGCCACGTGTGTACAGCCACTATCAGGGGAGTCCCGCTCACTGCTTTCTCGCGATGGGGGTGTTTTTAACGAAATTGAGAGGACGAAAAGCGAATGTCCATCGCTTTAACCGGGTTGGTGGATACGTAGGACCCACCTAGGGGGGAATCCCGACTCCAAACCAATGGTGCATATAGGTTCCAGGATCCTGAGGGAACAAACGGCGTATGAACCAATCGTTGGTCATGGGTCACTACGGGACTGCATCTCCTGACGTTGCTCCACTGCCTTTTGGATCACACCTTTGGGTCGAAGGCTCTGGGTGTGGCCCCCTAATAAAACCACCTGTTTCGGTTTGAGCACCCGTGGAGTATCCCAGCCCTCACACAAATCGAATGACGAAGTGTGGTGATTACATATCTGGTGCCTCCTTTTGCCAATATTTATGTGTTTAAATAAATAAATAAACAGTAAGGTGATGGATAAAAAAAATTTCTAGAACAGTTTAACTCGTAAGTATTTTACTACACTTCATTTATTTTCCCCTGAAATACATCTGTTCCTTTTCTGTTCAAATATTTTTCTCTATTTCCCTTGGTTTTCTCTCTTAATACTCTTCCGGTTGTGGCAACTTAAACGGATACATCATTTTTTTGCATTGTCTCTATCGATTTATCTCTAACTGGCACTGTTTGTAAAACTACTAGATCGTTAGTCAACTAGTCTCTGATTATTGGTTCAATATTTTGATCTCCGTTTTTCCATAGATTTACGCAGTTGTAATTACTGTCTGATAAATGAATAAAAATAAGTAAATACAGATATATTCATTATTTAAATCTAACCGTTTGCACGTACAATTGTCTACTAAATGGAATTTTATACATTACTCTATTCGTTATTAAGAGGGTAATCTCCCTTTGAAATTGTCTAGGTTTTAGATGCACATAGTGGGCCAGTTCAGTTCACATCACGATTTCTTTTAGAAGCTGGTATGCACAGTCATACTATTAGTTTGAAACGTGAGTCGCGCAAAGCTGCAGCTGTATTGTGGCTTGCTCGAGTTGTTCTTCGTAATCCGGCTTATGCTGATTGGACACGCAGAGCTGATGTACATCAACTTAGGCACTTGATACAAAACAATCCTTTAGCTCAAGCATATTATGCTCATTGTCGAAATCAGAAGTCTAAGATAACCAACAACAAGGACAATGCGCGATCAAGATTAAACCAAATTGTTACAGCCCATGCAGATTTATCAAGATCAACTTACGATCTGTCTGCTACGAATTCATGTGACAATGAATGTTTCCAGACTAAATTCACGGAAAAGACTTCGTATGGCTTGTCTACAGCCTGGTGAGTTCATATTATGTTTGTTTTTTATGTAGTAAATACTATATATCTATTGCAATAGTATAGACACTTCTCTGCATTTTCATAGAATATTATCATCTTTAATTAGGTTAACTATTTTTCGTATTGCACTTGGTAATGCGACTTATACTCAAGCAATCTGTTGTTATTTAAAGTTCATCAAAAGGTGTTAAGAACATATCTCCAAATGTAAAAGTTGAGAACTAATCCAATCTTGATATAAGAGACTACTTAAGTGCGTTATAACTAAGATTTTTAGGAGAGGATAATAACTTGGCTACACATCTAAGTACTAAAGAAAAAAGGATGGTGGACACTAAAACGTTAGTACCATGTCTTGTATATCATTTAAGGATGTTTTTTCGTCTTTGTCAGTTAGTCGAGCTAGGTGATATACCTTAGTACATCATTAGTCAATGGTAAGTCGAATTTATTCGTGGTTTGTAAACTTGCAAAATAACAATACGTAATTGGTCGATGCATCATAGAATTAGCGTATACACATTGTTGACGGACATAGTTATCGTTATTCTATTGGATACAATTCAACGCAACTAATGGGTGTTGTACATTTTCTACTTCTCTTGAGGTGACAATAAACCACCGGAGATTCAATATGGTTATCATTTGTAAAAAAATATTCGACCACTCAAATGCAGTTTACTAGTACAACATTTAAACATACTAGAAAAACGTAAACAACTTGAAATCTAACTCAAATGTTTATCGATTCAAATTACCAATCTTCAAATTAGCATAACGAAAGCAAACTACAGCTTCACCTACCTAGCAGTTGCGGAAATTCTGCGTTACGTTGTTGGTTTCGAAATCGTACCTTTTCATAGTCTTGATATGCAATCAGAAGTGTTTAGAGATTATTAATATTAACTGGTAGGAATTGCTGCTGTAGTTCTCCATCCTTTTTTAATTCGATTTTGTCACACCTAAAATTTTTATTGACTATTTCTTTCAGCTTGGCGTTGTATTGTATGGAGTTTTTGGGTATATTTTTTTAAGGACTTTATTCAATATTTAGTTGTTTAGAGACGGATACCAGTAATGGTCACATTGAAAATCTTTCAATCATTCATTCCACAGACGCTTATATTAGTTGCTTATACATAATGCGCAGCGACTGAAGTTGTTACACTATATATAGTATTTAACAGAAATTGTGTACATAGCTAAATATATTGGATAGTTAGTAATAGGATAAAAACAAATGAATGTTCCAGAACTGCATGGATAGACATATTCGTTTGAATCAATATAATGCTTGTGGCTAATTGTAATGCGGCTAATCCCTTTATTGCTCCTCTAAAGAGTAACATCATAATCTTAAAGTTTAATATACTTTATTCATATATTTTTACTTCCATTATTTATGGTAAATGCTACAAGAAAATCTCGGATTGTTTTCTATTTTATCTTATATAGGCAAGTATTTTTATTTCTGTACAGAAAAGACAACTTTATTTTCTATTTATTTATATGACGGAATTTAAATGTAAAAATGTTTTCAAGTGTTTGATGTGAATTGTTTTGGGCATCAATGTAAAAATCTCAATAATTTCACATATTTCCTTGATGTTTAACAGATTTCAATTAGTTTTTCCTAATATTTTGAGTATAGATTTTAAGTTGTTTGTTTCATTGATTATCTGTAACTTGTATCAAATGATACATACTCCGGTTGTGTAATATTTGCTTATCACAATTTCTCTTTATGAACTCTTTTCTTCCCTTTAGTGATAATTCTGACGAGTCATCCAATGAAGGAAAATACACAAATTTCTCAACACTTATACGTGCACCTCATTCCACACCGAGTGGTCATAACCATCATATGTCAACATCTGTGATTGATTCTTCCTCTGAAAACCATATATTTGATGGTTTAGATCCTTCTATTAAATCTGATCTCGAAGCGCTGCGATTAGAGGAAGAACAACGTCAACCATTGTGGCCTCCAATTTTGGAGCATATCACAGGTTATAAAGAAGCTAATTTAATTCCGCTAGCTTTACGCTACCATGCAATAGCTTTAAGATTAATAGCTGAAGTGGCTCGTGGTGGACATTTGGCTGTTGCCAATGCCAGTACATCTGATCAACCTACCAATTTAAGTGTGAAACAAAATAATGATGCAAATGTTCATATGATTGACGTTGATGTGGAGGATCCATCTAATCCGCAGAACACACGTTGTGTATCACCCGGGGGCCATTATTTGCGTCGCCAGTCTGTTACTAAATATTGTTCAAGGTAAATTAGTATTTTCTATGTGTAGTACATACTAAGTTATTTAACAATTTCAGTTTTTAATTGAAGTTCACAATTGATTGATCACTGGGTGGTGATCAATCTCATGCTTGTCTAGTCCTTATTAGTGCAGATCGAATGTTATCGATCATGTTGCAATGTGGCCACCAGTCTAGGTGACTCGACACTGCGGGCACTATGTATTGAGATTAGATGGTGGTTGGAGGTAGTCAACAGGAAACCCTGGACCCGGGTTTCGTGCTACTTGGCACTCGTCAGCAAGGTGTACCTGTAATCTTGAGGGAACTCAAGTAGCACGAAACCCGGGTCCAGGGTTTCCTGTTGACTACCTCCAACCACCATTTAATTGAAGTTCATTAATACAAACCTGGTTTGTATAGAGTGGCTTGTTAGATTGTTGTTTGAGATCCAACTGAGGAAATTTGTAACTCAGGTGAATGATTTTGGTGTTTGATCACGAAGCATATAAATTTAATTGTAATAAAGTTCTGTTTTACTGTAGGGTGGTTGTATTAATTTACTGTTTTTAGAGGTTACTTAACTTACAACGTAGTAAATAAATAGTTAGTTGGACGTTGAATACTTTAACCCCTAACCACCGCTCCACAATTAATAAATATAGAAGTTTAACTTATTGTCTAATTGCTTAGTGCGCTTCACCGTAAAACTGATGGCAGTTCTGATTCACATTACGGATACTAACACACTACCACGTATCATCTGATTAGTTCGAAGTGAGCCCACAATTCGACTGCAGTAATAAGTTCATGAGTTTCATTGAAATTATGAACCGATCAATGTTAGACCACCATTGAAGACGTCCGTCCAGTTCTTTTAGGTTTTCAATGGTGGTTTATTAGCATTGATCAGTTCATAATTTCAGTGAAATTTGGATTTGACATCGAAAGGTAAAGAAACGTCATGAGACTTTTCCCACTCTGCATTAAAATACATAAACCATAAAATTGCGAGATTTCATCGCTGTTAACAATTTCAAATGTAGCTAATGGGTAAAACATGCAAATCAGGTATGTTATTATATTACTCTTAAAGCTCAATCGTCATGGTTTCTGCACTCTGATATTGATTACATAAACTTGCACACTCTAGTTCGATCTAAAAAGTTAGTTTTTCCAACGCTTAACGTAATACATAATAGAGAGTATACAATACACGAACCTACACACAATATTTGTTTTTCTATACCGTTAAATATGTTTATTAATTGCTGATAATTTTTAGATCAAAATGTATGTTGTCATTTCGTTTCTGAATTTCAATTGTAATAAAGTGTTTATTTTATCTCTCAACATTTCTTACCCGTACGCGTTTTTTCCTGTTTTAATGCAGTGCATTTTTGAGTGTCGCTGATGCCTATCCTCAATTGTCATTTGACAATTTTGTTCCATATTTCCCATCTATCCAATGTGCAGAAACGTGTACGTGCTTTGTTTGTACAAATCTTATTCGTCGTTCTAATTAGTCACTACCACTACAACTCCAACTAATTCTTCCTACTACGTTTATATATAATTGTCTTTCGTATGCTTGTATGTATTTTATTCCTCATATTATTTCGGGAGGTGAATTAAATTATTCGGTATTCGTAAAGTGCTAACGTGATTTTTTCATTGGTCATCTCTGAATTCTTCTGTATTGAAGCAGAAACATGTTCTTTTTAATGTCTTTTCCTTCTCTAGTTTTCTTTTTAATCTATATTATTTATTTTATATGTATTAGTCATAATTATTATTGTGGTTTTTTTATAGCAAATTAGGATTTTCAATTTTAAGGCACCATTATATGTGGACCGATGCATATATGTGCCTGGTCCTACATTGTATCTGACTGACTGTTATATTCAACTAAACAAAAAAAAGTCGAAATTTCGCTGTGTTGTACTTTTTATCCGTCCAAACGATCTTTCCAATTTTATGTTAACATTGTATACATACGAATTATGATGTTACTGGTGATTTTGTGTATTTCCACATATATGTTATACGTCGAATTAAATTTAAAATCCTACCATAAATAAAAAGTAAAACGCAAGTATGGTGAAAGGAATCTGGTTCATTTAGTAATTAATGAATCCAGTATTTGCATTTCATCAAATTATATCTCTTTGTCAAATGTTTTACTTCATTTAAACTTATGTTTATGTGTAACGCATGTAACACTTATTTATTCGTTTTTGGAGTGAATTATTTCCCATGGTTCTATACAAACATTTGTGAAACATGTCCCATTATTGTGGCATTTTTCCGTATTTGTTTTAATCCAACAATAAAGGGACTAAAAAACCAGAAAAAAATAATTCAGTCTTGATCAACGAGCCTCGAAAATAAATGTGCGTTTGTCTAAATTAATATATTACAGCCGCTTGCGAAGAGGAGGTTAGCAAAATTAGTACTAAATCAATCGAAATAATCGTATTAGCAATGGTAGTGAAAAAGACTAAATATCGATAATAGAGTTCAAGAAGGTTAACTGAAAAAGAATGCTAGGATTTGAGACCTGTAAGATTACAAAGAATGAGTACTACCTCTGCGTCATTTTGATCATTTTTGAACCATTTCTCTCTGAGTCTCCTACCACTCCTCGTGGATATTGCCCGAATCACCCATAGTCAATCAGTGTATTAACTGATTCCACGTTTTGGTTTGACTGAATTGTTAATCTTCGTAATACCTACTTCAGCGATATACAACGAGTTAGCTGTGGTTGCATGCATATTACACGTGCCGGCCATCTCAGTTGGTGGAAATTTACAATCTTACGCCTAGTACTGTGCATCTATCATCACCGGTTGCACTTTCGTTCCACTGTATTTGAACATTGCTTTAAGGACCCCTATAGTCGAATAATAGTAACCTAGGGATGCTGTTTACTCCTGAAGACTACGTTTTACAACCATAAAATAAAACAAATCAAACTTATACGTAAAATTCTCGTCCTTTGGTTGGTGGACGGTCATCTCATCTAAACCACAGATGAGGCAAGTTAGAAATAGGAAGTGTCCTTCCTCGATTCCGAGGCAGTGTGGTCGACGATCCTAATTCCTTCAGCTCTTATCATCAGTATGTGCGGTGACACAAACCGGTCATGGGTTACCATTTTACATACATCATGAACATACCTGGATGACTGAAACTGTTCTGTTCAGCATCATTGATTACGATTGTCGTCTAAGTACTCCATCTCGATTAGTGAGTTTTCAGAAAAAACCAGTGCCTGAAGAGTTTGGTTGAGAAAATGAAATTTCCGGTAGGAAACGGCCGTCCAATGCTTCCAGGTTTTCCATGGTGGTCTAGCTTCAATTGACTCATGGTCTTAACGATTGAAATTACCATAACATCCACAAAAACCCTTCCAATAAATATTTATTTAGGTGATAGCATGTTGTATGCTTTCAAAACGTACGATTGAATTTTCACAAACTTCATTTCAACCGAAACTTAGTTATAAAATTATCCAGATTTCATAATTCTGTCAGAAGAAAGAATCTAAGTCTCAGATTCTTTTCATGTTTGTTGTGCATTAACCCATAAAGTAGATCTGAAATCGAAGATTTAACCGATAATCCGAGTATCTTCTTTATCATTAAGACTGATTCCAAACTTTCATAAAGACTTCAATCTTAGTAAGATTGCTTTGTGAAGTAGAAGACCACTAAAAATATCAGTTATTATGAACTTCGTGTCTTAAGGGAAATTACGAAACTTGGATAGTCGGATGGATTATAGAGATTCATATATATTAAACAACTATCCTGTCGACATCGTTTCGTGATGGAAACTGTCTTCGAATTAAACGGATCTTTACATACCACCCACCTAAATAATTGTACACAATTATTAAACGTGTTATTAAATGACGAACGGAGAGTATATGAATTAAGTTAGAAATTGTGACAAACGTATCTCCTTAGTAATTGAGTATTATGGTGGTAATTATGAGTCCAGAAATCCACAGTAGAATTGACTGTGCACTCGTATTTAGCGATCTTCAGTTGGGTTTAGACATCTGTAAAGTGTTGATTAGTCTTCACCAGTTCTTTAATCAATGTCAGCCATTCGTTGTTATCATGGTCAATCTAGATTCCAATGACCAGATGAATAGTCTCATTAGAACTGAAGATTACTCAGTTATATGATTTGGAGAAGCTTCTCAGCTTTTAATATATTCACCAAAATAAATTAATCCAATGTATCAGCAATAATAAAACTTTATTCCACACAATTTGTCCAGATCATTTGACTGATATTCAGCATAAGAAGGACAAAACACAAGGTATTTTATAATCCTTTCCTTGTAGCGATGATGGGCATTTCTCGTCGTCCTTGTTTGAAAGATATACTCATTCTGAAAAAAAATCGCTAACGTAGACTTATTTGATTCAAACACTGCTGTCTAAAAAATACCAACCCAATATTCAGCAGTTTTTGATGACTTTTGTTGTAAACTTCAGTCCACGGTAATGATACTAACGCACGTTCTGCGTACTAAACAATAGTCACTCGTTTCCGAACCATTAATCAGAATGACTAAAAGGTACTTTGAATGCCTCATATTATACACAAATTATACCAATGGCCTATGTTGAAAATTGTTCCTGAAGTTCCACAATTTTGTTTTCTCACCTTTCGTAACACATTATTATAAAATATCAAAATATCAGTGTACTTTTAGTAGATTGATAAATGTTTTATTATCAGAAGAGAATCTGTTGTGAGACAGTAACTTACTGAAGACAATAGTGGACAGAGGCGCAATTTCGTGAATTGGTTGAAGTTAGACATTAACACCGTTGGATTTCGGCTCACTGGTCTAGAGGTTAAGCGTTCGCGCACGGGACCGGTAGATCCTGTTTTCGAATTCCGCGGGGCGTGATTGTGCATGCGCACTACTGAGGAGTCCTGTACTAGGACGGGACGGCCGTCCAGTGCTTCCGGGTTTCTCACGGTGGTCTAGCTTCAATTGACTCATAAATTCAACTATTAAATGTTTTATTCCTTAATGAGATCTAGCGTAGTTACTTGACCTTTACTAGTAACCTAATGAATTAATCATCAACTAGTATTAATCTAATTATTTTATCAATCTAAACCTTTTATTTGATTAAATAGATCTAAATATATTCTCATAAACTATGTTTAAATTTTACAATTTAGTATTTATACTTCATTTATCTTGTTATACCCTCTTCTTTTTGAATGAATAAAGTATAGCGTTTAAACGATAACCATCTACATTTATTTTAATCTTACCATCATTTTGACATATTCTATGTTTTATATTAGTTATTTAAACGTAACAAGGGAATTAACTCTTATTCTTATGTAATCATATACTTGTTATTCATATGAATTTATTGATATTTATCTGATTAAAAATAAATTGGGGTTATGTTTTCTTACAAACCATATCCAAGTGAAATATTATTGAACATCATAGTATATAAAAAACTTGTTTCTTTTTAATTTGAGGAACTCCATCACTACACTGTTAAATACATAAATTTTTATAATCTTTTAGTGATTGTAAAAAAAAAACGGAATCTTAACTATTATATAGTAACCATGGCAAATTAATTTCTACGTTTAGCGCTCAATGATAAATTACTGTGTAATACTGAAAGTCAATAATTTATGTATATATTACTTACTTACTTACTTACTTACTTACTTACGCCTGTCACTCCCAATGGAGCATAGGCCGCTGACCAGCATTCTCCAACCCACTCTGTCCTGGGCCTTCTTTTCTAATTCCATCCAATTCTTGTTCATTTTTCTCATGTCTATCTCCATTTCTCGGCGTAATGTGTTCTTTGGTCTTCCTCTCTTCCTTTGACCTTCAGGATTCCATGTGAGGGCTTGTCTTGTGACGCAGTTGGGTGCTTTCCTCAATGTGTGTCCTATCCACTTCCAGCGCTTCTTCCTGATTTCTTCCTCCGCTGGGATCTGGTTTGTTCTCTCCCACAGTACGTTGTTGCTAATAGTGTCCGGCCAATGGATCTGAAGTATTTTGCGTAGACAATTGTTGATAAACACCTGTATTTTCTGGATGATGGCTTTTGTAGTTCTCCAGGTTTCTGCCCCATACAGTAGAACTGTCTTGACATTTGTATTGAAAATTCTGACCTTGGTATTGGTTAACAGTTGCTTTGAGTTCCAGATGTGCTTCAATTGTAGATATGCTGCTCTTGCTTTGCCGATCCGCGTCTTCACATCTGCATCAGATCCACCCTGTTCATCAATGATGCTGCCCAAATACGTAAAGGTTTTTACATTTTCCAAATCTTCTCCGTCAATTGTGATTGGATTGGTGCATTCTGTGTTGTATCGGAGAATCCTGCTTTTCCCTTTGTGTATATTGAGACCTATTGCTGCTGAGGCTGCTGCCACACTGTTCGTCTTCTCCTGCATCTGTTGTTGCGTTTGGGATAGAAGGGCCAGATCGTCTGCGAAGTCTAGATCGTCCAACTGCATCTTAGATGTCCATTGTATCCCGCGCTTCCCTTCAGACGTTGACGTCTTCATGATCCAGTCGATCACCAGGAGAAAGAGAAAGGGTGAGAGTAAGCAACCTTGCCTAACACCGGTCTTCACCTTGAACGACTTTGTCAACTGTCCTCCATGCACGATTTTGCAGTGTAATCCATCATATGAGTTCTGTATGATATTGACTATCTTCTGAGGCACGCCGTAGTGTCGAAGAAGTTTCCATAGTGTTGGTCTGTCCACGCTATCAAATGCCTTTTCGTAGTCAATGAAGTTGATGTAGAGTGATGAGTTCCATTCAATTGATTGTTCCACAATGATCCGTAGAGTTGCTATTTGGTCTATACACGATCTATCCTTACGGAATCCTGCCTGTTGGTCACGAAGTTGGGCGTCTACGCAGTCCTTCATCCTGTTTAACAATACCATGTTGAAGACTTTTCCCGGTATTGAGAGAAGAGTGATGCCTCTGTAGTTATCACACTTGCTGAGGTCGCCTTTCTTCGGTATTTTGATCAGAAGTCCTTCTTTCCAGTCTTTTGGTACTTGTTCCTCATCCCAAATTTTGCTGAAGAGAATGTGGAGTATCCTTGCAGTTGCCGCTACGTCTGCTTTTAGTGCCTCTGCTGGGATGTTGTCCGGTCCTGCTGCTTTGACACTCTTGATTTGTCTGATGGCCATGCTGATTTCTTCAATTGTTGGTGGGCCAACATCGATTGGGAGGTTCGTGGGTGCTGCCTGGATGTTGGGTGGGTTCAGTGGGGCTGGTCGATTCAAGAGTTCTTTGAAGTGTTCTACCCACC